CTCTGTGGGTTGGGATTGGAGCTCAGCTTTATCCTCCACTTCCTGTGAGAACTTTGCCATTAAGCCTTGAAACCTTTGGCTGCAACACCACGTACAATGTTACAAATTCATTGGCAACCACAGAAATGCCATTTTCTACTAGTGCTTTTCAAATATACAACGTTGAAAGGTATTGAATTTAAGTATTACAATGTCTTTTTTCAGTAAAAATTTATTTGCCAGGTAGAGAATTCCAGATGCTTTTAAAAAATTATTGTGGTAAAATACGTACAACAAAATTTGTCCTTTCATCTATGTTTAAGTGTAGAATTCTGTGAAATTAATTACATTGACAGGGTTGTGTGACCATCACCACTATCTTTTCCCAAAAGTTTGTTATTCTCCCAAGCAGAAACTCTGTACCCATTAAGCAATAACTTCCCATTCTCCCTGGTGACCTCTAAAGTACCTCCCTGGTACTTTCTGTCTCTGTGAATTTGCCTGACTAGATATTTCATATACGTGGAATCATATAATTGTTCTTTTGTATCTGGCTTATACCAATTAGCATAATGATTTAAAAGTTCTTTGATGTCATAGCATATGTCTAGGACTTCTACTCTAATGGTAAAAGAAGTGTTAGTAGATGACATCTTGTTTTATTCCTGATACTGGGGTGGAGGTTGAAAAGGAAAGGGAACTTTCAACTTTAGTATGGTGTAGAATTTTGTAGACATTCTTTATCGGATTAAGAAAGTTCCCTTCTATTTGTGGTTTCTGAACAGGTTTTTCATGAATAGGTGTGGAATTTTATCAATTACCTTTTCTGGATCTATTGAAATGCTTACATAAATTTTCTTCTTTATTCTGTTTCTGTGATGAATTATATTGATTTATTTTCAAATGTTAAACAACTTTTGATTACTAGAATAAACTTATTTGTTTGTGATGTTTTACATTTTTTAGGGAGTTCTGGTGGCATAGTGCCTAAGGCATTTGACTGCTAACCAGAAGGCTGGTGGTTCAAACCCACCAGCCACTCCTCAGAGGGAAGATTGTGCAATCTACTTCCATAGTGATACTGCCTCAGAAAGTCACTGAATTTCATTTGCTTTTTTTTTTGTCTAGGTTTTATGTGTCTATATTCATGAGAGTTGAATGGCTTTTCATTTTCTTTTCTTATGATATTTCTGTTAGGTTTTATTATTGAGGTT